ACATATATATATTATATATATGTATATATATATAATATATATAACCCTATATCTAAATAGTATAGTAGGGTATATATAATATATATACATGATATACCCTTATATATACTTCCCCTAATACCCATCCTGCCTATACCCCATACCCATATTTCCCCGCTATGGGGAATAACGTCGCAGCGTATATTTATCTAGCTTATACTAATATTGAACCCTTTTCACTTGGGCGGATGTACGCCGATCAGACACACAAATAAAAATGCTCCATCATGCGGGCCTGTAGCGCGCAGATCGCGAGCTTCGTCCGGATACAAGTTCGCCCATGCACTCAGACTGATATCATTTCGCATAAAAACGATCCGATAGCTGGCAGTAGATGGTGGCATCAGGAGGCCACACCGGGCATTTCGAAATTTCATTTTATTTCGGCATGAATTTCATATTCAAATCGAAAGCGTTCGGCAATTATCAAAATCGAAAAGCGGCAAATTTGCAAATCAAAGCAATTCCAAATCAAACGCAATTTCAAAAATCAAAACGCATTTCAAAATCAAAAACGCAATTCAAAATCAAAATCATATTCAAAATATAAGAAGAACGCAAATTTCAAAATCACAAATGGCATTCGCAAAATCAAAACGCAATTTCAAATCAAGAAACGCAATTCACAAAATCCGAAATCCATTTCAAAATCAAAAACGCATCTTCAAAATCAAAAATCAACATATTAATTTCAAATTCAATTTCTAATTCGCAAACTCATTTCAAAATAAAAAACCAATTTCAAAAATAAAAATTCAATTCCAAAAAAACGCAATTCAAATCAAAACGCAATTCAAGAATCAAAATGCAATTTCAAAATCAAAACGCAATTTCAAAATCAAAATCAATTTTAATTTCAAATTCAATTTCTAATTCCAACGCCCCCCCCCCCACCCAGCCCCCCCCCCCCCCCCCCCCACGCGCCCCCGCCCCACCAGGATCAAGTTCTTAATTCAAAACATCGATTTCAAACTAAAAGCCAAAATCGATATTCGAAGACAGATCGGACGCAGGCCGGGCCATCCTAGACGGCGCACTAGCTCTAGTAACTATACCCGCGTACAGGTGCTGCTGGCAGACTGTACCCGAACTATAGATACTGAGAAGCTAGACGGCGCCCAGCTTTCATAGTGCCATATGGCAGGCTGCGTAAACACCGGAAACAAGACCCTATCTGTCGGAGGTTTAGCGCCGTCGACAACCGATCGAGTGGCGTACACGATGAAGTAAGTTGAGCATGCAAATATTATTGCAATTATACAATTTAGTCTCACTTACAAGTTACAACTAAAATAAGACAGTAGTAGTAGGAGAGAGTTAGAGCTATAGCTTAGTAGCTAGTAGTAGTAGCTAGTAGAGTGAGTTAGTAGTATACTATGGACCACATGGCGACTGCTGAGTCTGTAGGCACCGACTGTCAAGGTTGTGCGACGGATTGTCTACTGTAGCTCCAAGAAACGGTAGGCCTATTGCTAGGGTTAGAATACCTGAAGAAGAAGACCTTAGAATGTATAGACAATCCGTCGCACAGCCTGGTCGGGCTACTGCTACTGCTACTATATTATAGTACTACTAGTACTAGTACTACTATAGTATTAGTATATACTATATAATAGCCACAAGTTCCCATCTCGCTACACGTACGACCTACGACGTAAAGCTCACTACGTGTAACAGTCGGAGAGCCTGGTCGGTTTAAGACTATAGTACTAGTAGTCAATGTATCAATGTATAGCCTGCGGTAGTCAATGTACGCGGGCTAATAAGTACAAGCTATATTCTACTACTACCTACTACTACTACACTATACACTAGCTATACTTACTACTACTACTACTACTACTACTACTACTACTACTACTGGACCTGTCTTATTTTGGTAAGTATAGTACTAAGTATAGGGCCTATAGTATTAAGTTAGTAAGTACTAAGTAGCACTACTAGCTAGTACTATACTAGTCTGTGAGTCGTGTGGTACGGACCTAGCTATAGCCCCACTCCTACATATCTGTTACTTGCATGAGCGAGAGCGACGAGCTTACAGAGTGCTGTTCAAGGATTAGATAGGTGGCCCCAAATATGCATTTTCTGGCAATACTTGTCGAAACATGTGCGAAATGGGAAGTGTGGACAGCTGTTCTAGTCGCTTGGTCCCAGGCGCGAATCCAAGGGCTGAAAGCCTAGACAGTAATTTTTCTATAGATTTTAAGGGCACATCGCCTCAAAAAGGGCATATAAGCGCCGTTAGGTGCGCCCGCATGGCAGCCCGCAGCGCGGCACATGGCGGGGTCTGGCGTTAGGGTAGAACGAGAGCATTCGGCCTAGATGCAATGGCCTTCGCGCAGGGCTGAAATGCTGTCACGGCGCAGAGCAATATAAAATTTGAGGTCCAAGGGTTCTCCCCAGGATAAATCAAACAGGGGAGGGAGGGGTAAGGGTGAGGGTGAGGGGGAAACTAGGGGGTCCGGGGCGGTAATTTTTACCGTACGACTAATGAATGGCGTAAAATCAGCCACCACACCATGAGACGGGTATTTGGGTTCTTGTATATATAATATAGGCGCGAATCGTGTACATTTTTTGTATGAATCAGTTTAACTGTGCATTGTCAGGTTAACTGTTAGCTGTCTGGCAGTGCATGACGTGGACGGTAAAAAATACACGCTCGGATTCCAGGTCGAACGNGCTCACACTACGTGTAATCAGTCGAGAAGCCTGGTCGGTTTTAGGCGAGACTATAGTACTACTACATACTCTACTATGTAGTGCAATGTAGTCAAAATGGTAATAGCCTGCGGTAGTCGAATGGGTACCGGCTATAGTCAACTAGAGCTATACCTACTACTACTCAGCGACTACTAATCTGACTCCTCACTACTACTACTACTACTACTACTACTACTACTACTACTACTACTACTACTACTGGACCTGTCTTATTTTGGTAAGTATAGTACTAAGTATAGGGCCTAGTATTAAGTTAGTAAGTACTAAGTAGCTAACACTACTGAAGCTAAGTACTAAATACGTAGTCGTGAGTCGTGTGCGTACGGGGGCGGACCTAGGCTCATATAGCCCCACCATTCTGTACGTGCATGTGACTAACACACACAAGGTCTGGTTCAAGGATGGATTAGGTGGCCCCAATGCATTTTCGCAATATTGTGCGACATGTGCAAATGTGGAAATGTGGACAGCTGTTCTATCCTTGGGTCCCAGGGGCGGATCCAGGGCTGAAGCTAGACAGTATTTTTCTAGATTTTAAGGGCACATCCCTCAAAAAGGCAGTAAGCGCCGCGTTAGGCGCGCGAAGCACATCGGCCGGGGGGTCTGGGTTAAGGTAGAAACGGCAAGGCCATTCGCCTAGATGCAATGGCCTCGCCAGGCTGCGTACATGCTCGATCACGGCCCAGAGGCATTATAAGAATTTGGAAGCGGTCACAGCGGCCGGCGGTTCTCGCTCGAGGATGAAAAATGTCAAACAGGGGCGTGTCGTGAGGAACGTTGAGGAGGGGGGTAAGGGTGAGGGTGAGGGGCGAGCTAGGGGGTCCGGGGGGGGCCGTGCTATTTGTTACCTTTTACGACTAATTAATGCGTAAAAATCGCCACCATCTCACCCATAGACGTTATCCTGGGGTTTCTGGTAAATATAATATAGATAGCCGAGTCCGTGTATGTCCAGTTAGTGACAGGTTAACTGTTGCATTGTCGAAGGTTAACTTGTGTACTGTCCTGCAGTGGCATCGCGTGTACGGTAAAAAATACACGCGTCGATGTGCCTTGGTCGATACGGCAATTCTTGACAGATCGAATTACGCCGCTAGCCTGCGCAAACTTTATGTGGCGCGAATTAAACGGGGCGCAACGATTCAAAACAGGGGGGAGTTTTCCCAAACGGGGCGCGCGCGCCCCGTTTGCGCAACGTAGGGAGAACCCTGGGTCACTGGGCACAAAAATGAGCACCATTTGAGCACACACACACACATTTAGTCAAGCAGCAATAGCTAAAAACTATATGGAATTTTATTTCTGCTTCATTTTGCCTGCGCTTTGCATACCAGCAATTAATGCAGAATGATTCAAAATTAAGCACTTCCCTTCTTTTTCAGATATCAAAGCTAGTTTTGTTACCATGTGAAATTTTGATTTCTTTCAAGTCCTGTCAATGAATCAGAAGAAAAAGAAAACAAATAAAGAATATAGCCAAATTCCAGCAAATTGTTTTCTGCGCAAAATTTCGAAGGGCACTTTGAAATCTAGATCGTATTTCCCAATACGGCAAATACGGTCTGAATCCGCCCTGGGTCCAAAGGTCTTTTTGTATATATATACTATATGGCCGTTTCTTGGAGCTAATTCGTAACCATATCGCACTCATGATGATAGTCTTTTTCTTCTTTTTCTTCTTCTTCAATTACTGTACAGCTAGGGCTCACTCTGGGGCATTGTCGTATAAGCAATGTGCAAACAAAGTTGCAGTAATATAGTCTATAGTATATATTATAGTATATAGTATATACTATAATATAGTAACTATAATAATATATAGTATTGGTAACAAAGTCGTAGTAATATAGTCTGTATAGTTTATAGTTTTCATTGTGCAGTCGCTGGACAAGTAAATTAATGTGCAGTCATGATGCTTGATGGAAATTTGGGTTATTATTTCAAAATGAATTGAAAATGAAATTGAATTATTTCATTTTCCGTTGAAATTGGCTTAAATTATGTTGCATAAAAAATTAGTGGTTCAATATTCATTAGAAATATGGAAAAACAAAAGGGCTATGAATGTAATGCAGCAACTGCTGTATAGCCGTGACCCACTGTAAAAATAGACACATAACAATTGTTTAATGTTGTTTAACTATAATTAAAGATCAGAAGAGCTGTGTTCATGAACATGGATGTGTATAAAATGATCTCTATACGTGACCCACTAGAAATACACTGACAAATGTAATTTTGAGTAAGGAATTTGAAAACAGCAGTTAATATATACCTTGAATAGTAGCCTTAAAAATACGTAACTGTCTTTTTTACAGCCATCGAACAATACAGATGATGCTGGCTCACTTTGGCATCAGAAGGATTGATGGCACTGTGACTGTAGGCCAAGTAGAAGATGTTGTTATGGTATTTCTACATTCTGTATTTTGGAATTTAAAATATATAAATAACTCAGTCTTTTTAACTATACCAAAGCTAAAAAGCCAAAGTTAAATTGCATGTTAAATGACATATAATTTCAGTTATATTATGGATAAATTTGCCCTAAAATGAACATCGTTTGGTTAAATAGCATTTAGGTATAAATATAATTGCAACTTTATTTAATTGTGATTAGCCCTTGGTCTGTAAAGTGCAAAATATATTGGGAAATGCGCAACTTTTTCAGGGTGGCAGCACGGTCGCGGGTGTCAATGGCGCCGTTCAAATTTTGTAGCGTTGATGTATAATTAATTATAACAATGAAATTAGGTATCTGGTAACACAATACCTGGTTATACACAATATCTGGTTATACAGCAAGTACAGTTGTATGCAGTAAAATCCTAGAGTCACGTATCCCTTTAATAAAAATCCGATATTGAAAGAAATCTTAACTTTGTGTCTATTACAGAAAGAAATGAGTGGTCCAAGGAAACATATGCAGGCTACCGACAGATGACAAAGGCAGTACGCGAAGAGAACAAGCTGTTCGTACCAAGGCAAGTGTAAGGTGTTTTTTTCATCAGAGGGTTCGTAGTAAGTTAGAGTCGAATAAAATCCAAAGATCAGAAATTTTTTTCAGCCAAAGATATATTTACACATGATGCATGCAATGCATGCATCCTCACCACGGCTATCCACGACTCCCCACAATAACCTCGCACCGATCCGACCCGGAACCAACAGCTACCCCAAAAGCCACGACCCCACTCTAGACAAAGAATGTATACCCACATTCGTGGACTCGGTCGATTTTACTCCAGCATCAAACACTTCCGCTCGCATATTTATTAATTATTATCTATAAACTCCGTTCCCCCAGCACATCTGCACTATCTATGATTAACAAAAAACTATACTAACTCCCACTACTAACTAGCACAAACATGTTATATAGAATTATACTTATCTATGAATGATGCACATAATACACATTAGATAACAATTTGAGAACACTTATAACCGTTAAAATGTGCTAAAAAACCTATCCAGAACAGGTGCAAAGAAAACCTACAAAATGCTACATGTAGTATCAATTTACTTTGTATTAATGTGCACAGTAATTAACGATGGATTAAGCACATTGTACTTGCATTTCATAAATTCTATAAAGGTGGCAGGTAAATATATGTTGAACTGATTAATATAACGTTTATTGACTCAATGTATTCATGTTTGATATGTATGACAACTTCACATAATGAGCATACATGTATAGTTAGTTGTGTTAATGCTGATATATTATTTTAAGATTCCGGTTTAAGGAAATAGCTATATAACACCAGGCTCGTTAATGACTTCTTTAACAGGGCCTTGGTATATGCTGCCATGATGAAGGGGGATCCCGAAGGGTTGACATCTAGGGCCACACACGGGAAGAAAGGAATTGGTCGTAGACGTGTATTCTACAGTAAGGTATATAGCTTCTGGATCTAACTTAAATTGTGGACGAGCTAAAAGACGGGCATATCATAGGCGCAGAAATGAAACGTGTTTTTTTCTGTCTTTATAATTTCTTAACTAACAGATTATTATGTGGCAACGAGAATTATACTGCGCCACAGATGATGACTCATCAGACATGGGTTCGTGTCTGCACACGACCCAGCTAATTATAGAAATCAAGGTGGCGACCGGAAATGATATGGGCAGTAGAAGGTTCGAGAAAGGGGAAATGATGTAATCTAATGAATCACATGACCGGTCACGTGGGCTGCCCATTGATTAGATTGATACCTATAAGAGGCCATTCAATTTTTGACAGGCTCATCTGGTTTCAATATTACATTTAATGCAAACATGGCATCATCATGCATCTCCTTCAAAAATCTTTCCATATCACACCTGTTGTTAAATGAAAAAGCTGTGATGTCAGCTAGTTCACGATCTATATCAACTTCAGAATTTATATTATGAGCACAGAGCGCCAATATTTGTGAGTGGCGTGGTCGTGGCACTGAAACTGTTCCTTTTAGTTCATTTTTGTGTTTCCGAATCCAAAGTAATCCTTGCTGAATGGTTTGAAATATTGCAATCTTCATATTGTTCATCTGAAACAAACAGTTTGATAATAATGTAAATACTTCACGTCCGTTGCTGCTGTTAGTTTACAGCTTGAAAATTCACTTGAACCGACTTGAACATTTGCACTAAATATGCAACATATTGCTACAAATAGTATATTGTGATTACAAATTCATGCTGTTTTTGGTGAGCTTGTAACTGCTGCATATCAAAAGGGTCGAAAGTATTTTGGATAACTCACCAGAACAAGAATAATAGCAACCATGTCAATTCATCTTCTAATGATCCTATATGCATTAAAAACAATAATTTTCTATTTTGCATGTTTATCTCGTTGTTATAAACTGTAGTTATTTCGTCACTATATACATCTTGGACACTAGACAGTTTAAAATATATAGCCTGTCACATCATATTTTCATTAAAAAAGCATAAATGCCTACAGTAATAGTGAAATACCTGACTGTCAACATTTCCAACATCTGTTTCACTCTGGGGCTTGCACATCATCCCTGCCGAGGAAGTACTTTGTATGAATACATGAATAATGGCATACTAGCATCAACGTTATTACATAATGATCTAGGTTGCCAAATAAGAAACCTATTATGTGATGTCATGACCAACGTTTTGAAAGAAATAAAATCCGTTTCTTAATTAGCTAATATTAACCACTGTAACGAGTATGAGGAAAAAAATGTTTTTTTTAAAATTCAAATGAAAAACCCTTTATATGAATTCAATTCTTGTTTAATAAATTTTGCTGACTTGTCACATATATTCTCACATAATCTCATAAAGTTTCTTCAAAAGTTATTAGCTATAGGTTTTATCCACACTAATACTTATATACTATATATGCACAGTTAATTGCTCTCCAAGTATGTATACTTGGCAGCACATTAGAATTACACAAGCTAGTTTTATTTTGTGACTTTACCTTTTAAACCAATTTCAGTACAAATTTCATTGCACTTGTGCGTCATTTCGAAGTTTGCAATTGCAACCTTTGAGCAGTTTCCTGCAGCAAAGAGCCTGTTGGGGGAATAAGTCGCACATAGATGAAATTCCATGTGTTTTTGGCATGTATAATATTTACTGATAAAAAATAGTATAGACATATCGAATCATGGTTGCTTTCTTATAATAGAAACAAACGGCATGAATATGGTTTTTCAAGGGGATGTATGGCACTCATGTATTCCCTGTTTGAGGGAGATTAGAGGTCATTGTCTTCCAGAATCATTTCGAATTTTTTCTTGCAGGGAATAAGATACATAATCAATATCCAGCTTGTGATTGTACTCGGTTTGTACTTACAGGCTTCCATCTTCACCAACCATCTCATCCGTTGCAATTTCAATGTCCGTCAGCAATTTGCCAACTCCTATACCAAAAGGGATTACATTCATTAAATTATATTACTAAGCATTGGATGTTATAAATACTGTCTGGCATGATTATTTCTTCTAAACTTACCATTACTGCTAATTAATGTACAATACAATGTCAGCATTTTGTGATGTTTTTAATACATAAAAAGCATGTGTTGCAGTGTTGTAATTAAAGTTGAGGTGAAAATATGGTTAAATTGAGTAGCAATTGATTTTAGTGATTTTTAAAAACGTAATACAGATTTGGCAGTGCGTATATTGGCATCTAATAATCTTGAGGTTTTAGGGTTGCATAACGATGATCGACTTCTGTACTGTACCTTGGAGATCTGTCAATATTAATTTGCCCTTTGTCAAATCATGCGCGTAATGGGCTAGCGCTAAAACAGCATGTAGCATACTGTTTTCGTCATCATCGTCCTCTACCTGAAGCATCTCATTCCCTATATATTTAACAAACTTTCCCTCCAAGAATGGCTCGACTATCGCCGACTTTCCACTGCTACCAACAAACAGATGAGGCGTGATACCCTATATGAACAGAAAGAAATTTCAACTAAAGATGTGACAATTGCATTGTTATAATAGATGTGTCTTGTGGCATTTAACAAAGTAAACTAAATTAAATGTAGGTTATGTCATATGTGTGTAAATGACAGGCTTCAATGTTTTCAAAGGGACTTACACTGGTTTCTCCTCAAAAGCAGCTGGCAGTTTGTTGGAAAACAAAGAACACAATTGCTGTGACACTACTTGCCCTTGTACAGCCTGGTAAATAAAAATGAATAACAGGCATGTTGTTATAGGCATGCATTTAAGATGCATTATTCAAGTGTGTGCAGACTTATTTTATAGCAGATTCATATTTCTTCATGTTTCTGCAGATGCTTGTCTTAGAAATATTAATGTTAAGAGTAAAAATGTTATGTTTATCAGTTGAAGACAGTTTTGTTGTTGAACTCTAAACCTATTCTCCAGAAATAAACTATTCTTATGTTGACTAGTGCCACACAAAGGTACACCCATGGAAACTAGAATGGCATAGTCTATAGAAGATGCATACAGCATATTTACCTTTCGATTCATTTCCTGCGCCATCCTATCAACCTGTAAAAATTAATTAATTAATTTACATGTATCAGTTTTGTAAATAATGACTAATGTAGCATATGAATAATTACTATGATATGCGGAAATGTAATACAATAAATGCTTTTCTGCATAAGCCTAGCTACGCAGCGTGCTACTCGATGGTTATGATTACAGTTATGGTGGCTATATATACGCTCCATTAGGAGTGTTCCCAACTTTGATATCATTAATGATTAAAGGCTCACAATGCGCATCCAAACGCTAATTTCTCCAGTACTAGACTAGCAAATACTTTGTGTCATGCATAATCACACTACCTTATGGCAAAATAAACTAGTTCCTCCCATTTCACTGCGTGTTGTCTTATAAAAGTATTATTGAAAATACCTCCAATGTTGTTGACAGTTTCCCCAATCCGCAAGCAACCGTGCCGCGGTGCGGCCGGTACAAGCGGTACGGGGCGCAGCCCAAGGATAAAACCATGTGACGTCACGTCACCACTGTCCGGGTATTTGTTTGGCAAAACAGTCGGCGTTTGCGCCAGAAGCAGTTTGCGCACCTCGTTTCTTTGTGGGTTTTAAAGCCAACGCGCGAGTGAATGGGGAGCAAACTAGAGTTTTTTTGTCCTAATTGTTAGTGTGGATTATGCATGACACGAGTATTTGCTAGTCTAGTACTGGAGAAATTAGTGCTTTGATTGCGCATTGTGGCTTGAATGATTAAATGCTTAATGATAGATAACTCCTTAACACCTAACCATTAATGACATTACGTTGGGAACACTCCTGAATGGAGAATCACCGTTATGGTGGAGGTTAATGTAAGGCAATTCACTCACTATAACAGCAATGATGTAAAGATACTTTGGGTTTTATGGTGCGTCAAATGTAATCGCTGTACATCTGGGTTGTAACTTACTCCAAGGAATTGCTTCGTCGCATGGACTGGTGTATTCTTTTACTACCTCTGTAGGAGAATCTGCAAGGAAGATTGCGGCGTTATGGTGACAATGTAAACCTGACAAAAGTGGGAAGCTATGAAGCAATCGGTTACAGGATATATAGCTCTGTTAGCAAATGCTAAAACCATGAAGCGTGGCCAGCTAGGCAGCAAAATATTAATGCTACTTTGAAAAAGTAGCGTTAAAAATTAAAGCTCAATTACCTTGAACACATACGGGTGGCCAGGGGAACACAACCGGCCTCCTTGGTCGGCCCACCGGCATTCTGCTTTGTAGGCCGTCCTGTGTCCACCAGAGCAGCCACAGCAAGTGTTGTGCACCCCTCTCCTTGTAGGTTGTTGGTGGCAAACCACGACCATTTTTATCCACATTAACAAAAGACGTAACATGTCCCTCCAGCCACTAAGAACAGTATTAGCTTCCGAAATGATAATTATAAGATTTTAAGGGCAACTTAATATTTGAGAAGCAATAATATGGTAAACTATAATGTCACACTTGCACTGATAGGTAGGCAGCATTAAGCGGTTGCTATAACAAATGGAGAATGCGACGCAAAAAAAGTAATGTAACATTCCCATACAGTAAAAACCCAGTAGAACTAGATTTTAGCTCACCTTGACATCGTCAAGTCTGGCTATTGCCATGGGTTGTCGTCCGGTCGTAGGCCGTCCGTCTGTCCGTCGGTCAACGATACTCAAGGACCGTTTGACCCACATGTTTTGAAATTGGGTGTAGTTGTTACTGCTAGGTGCCCATATTAAATGACGTGCTCTTTTGGAGCACGTCTGCGCAGTCGCGTCTTACTTTCTGAGCCACGGTCGATTTTGTGTTCGAAAAAGTGTTTTGGGACTTGTCCATTGTAATTCTAGTTCCGAGTGTCAAGCGGATGTGTGTGGGTTTCTCGTATTTTTTTGGTATTGCGACGTCAGTGAATAAGGGCGCTAGGTGGGGTTTTGATTATTTTAATAAGGTGTATTGTCTAATTATGTAGGTTTGGTCCAAATTATAGTAGGCAAATGGTTAGTGTTGATCACTACACAGTCTGTTGCGTTGGGCACGACTCGTCTGGGTTCGGGTTTATCGAGATCTTATTGAGCTAATGATTCTTCAATGCTAAGAGGTGGTGATTTCCTCTTCGCGCGTCTAACCGATAAACGTCTATATTAGAGTAAAGATTTATGCAAATGTGTCGCGAACGGCAGGGATTAGACCAGTTTTATTTCTCGCGAACGCCTACGCTAGTCGGATGATTATGGCGTGGTATGACTGTACTTCTTACTGTCTCACTCGTTTGGCTGTTCCTTTTTTGTGGGGGTTGTAGCCTACATGTTTTCTAATGTGGATACTTTCATTTGTTTGTGGAGCTTATCGCAGTGCCATGATGCCGCTTTGCATTGGTTTTACGTTCTGTGTTCTGTGGGACCCATGCCAGTCTTCATCGTGCCAATGGGAAAATTAAGAACGCGGGTACTTTAAAACACCTTAGCGGCCTACAAACAGGTTCTTATGTAAAGAGCGTGCTAAATGGTGTGGTCCGATTTTTTTGGGCGAATACATGGGCTTCTTTAAAGATCTTAGCGTTCTTTAGTGGCAGGTGTGTTGAAACTGTATGCAGCGTACAGTATCAAATAGATGTGGCTGCGCTAGGTTGTATTAATTATGTGAAAGAATCTGTTACTAAGTAATAAGGTATTGAATTAGTAGAATATGTCCTTAAAGATTTGCAGTGGGTTGCCAAGCTGCCTGTGCATCTAACTGTAGTATGGCGCGCACAAAATACGTTGTGTCGGGTTACCAGCTGATAGGCAAATAAGTGGAGATTTGTGTCCTCGATTTAATTTCTCTGGTTATTTAAAAGAAAGTTGGTTGAATCGAACAACATGTGGGGTCCTGCACATTGTTATGTTATGTAGATAGTATCTAGTAAATATAGTATAAAAGGTACACAGATAACCTTACACGTAGGGTGCTAGTATAGAGACCTACTGCCGTCCACTAAAAGTTTCTCAAGGTTCGTGTGTCACCTATTGTGGATGGGGAGGGGATGGAGGTGACTGAGGGGTGCTAGGAGCCATTGTTTAAGAGGGACCAGTTGCCTCTAGGAGTTTTACTGTAATACAACGTGTACTTACTGTAAAACAAATCGGTCTATACGCCACACGTAGTTTGTTACCAGATCCGCTAATTTATTGTTTGATTGAATTTCCGATCAAGCGCAACGGAATTTTGCAGGCGGCGGCCATGACACCCGGCGCCGTGCCGTGCGCCCCAAAATAAGTTGCTTATTTGACAATTTAGTTTGCACGTTAAGACGAGGTGACTATGATGACAAATGTGCTGTATATTTCGACCTAAATGCTATTTTAAGAGGTCGGGAACCGAATATTCATGTTTGTGGCAATGTATCCATATTATAACTGAAACTATATGTCGTTTATAAGATATTACCAAGATATTACAATCCTTTTGCTTTTAAATGAATAAATAAGAAACACCCTCGGTCTGTAGCCCTTGGCTGGAAAGTGGTTTTGCGCAACTTATCAGATCGTGCGCTTTGAGTGGCGCCACCGTCGTTGTAATCAAATGGTAGTCGTTAGTTTTTAAACATTTTTTAATAATATTTCTAATGGTGATTGAACCATGAAACTTTTTATGTAGTGTAATTATAACCTAAATTGGCTGAAAATAATTTTAGAACCTAGAGTAAACTCTCCCTTTAAGCTTGGCCAACTATTTAGTGTCTAGTGCTTAAAAGTGCAGGTTCTTTTATACCTTATTTTTATACTTACCATCATATTGAACAGGTGGCAACTGGTGAACACACCCCATTTTCAGTAACACACTCAGACCCACTGAAAATCAAAATCCCTAAATTAATAATTCCATGAAACACAGTTGAAGTTTGGTAATGCGTAAGTTTGGTGCTAGCGATTAAAATCGCTAGCGAATTTAATCGCCCGATCACGAAGGGGCACACGTAGCGAATTTAATCGCCCGATCACGAAGGGGCACACGTAGCGAATTTGAGAGCGTAGGCGTACGCCACTCGACGGAATCACATGATCACATGATGCATCACATGATATCAACAACACGTCCGATTGGTTTAGAAAAATCGATCGGGCGACAAAATACGCCGAACACGGGCACACGAGCGAATTTGCCAGTAAATAATCGCGGGCGTAAATAATCGCCCGAAAATATCTAACATTTTGGATACGGGCGATTCGTACGGGCGATTAAAATCGGCGTCGACGTGAACGGGCACACAGGCGAATTTTTCTAGCGATTTTAAAATTCGCGGCGATCGGGCGATAAAAATCGCTCGTGTGCCCCTACCTTAAGGCGATGGTGAAATTGATTGCCATTTCCTGACAGTAGCTTCACAACTAATATTGTAACCAAATCCACACTTGTGATGATAATCATTAAAACAGCTAAAAATGGACTCTTCGTTAATATGTAATATGGATCAGTGTTTCCCCTGGCCAAAAAGGTCTGCGAGGCGGTAAATTGTATTTTTATTGATTTCTTGTTCAGTGTCCCAGCAAAGCGAACGCCAAAGGCACTCGCCCAGCTAGGTGGTCCAATTTTTGAAAAAAATGCAATTCGGTGCATTCTGAGCTATTCTGAACGGATATTTATAACACTGTATGTGCGTCTTGATTGTAGTAACACTAATTTCGTCAGCGAGGAGGCTTTTTGGACAAATTTCCGCGTGGCGGCCCGCCTCGCCCGTGTCAATGCAGGGGAAACGCTGAAGATTAAGCAGCACATTAGCATCAGTTACTAAACGTTTGCATTTATAATTTTTGCTGGTGAGCCACCAGACACAACTAAGGATATAAGTAATAACACAAGTGCACAATTAGATTTATTTTATTGTTTTCAATTTATAAGATCTAATTCTATTAAAAAAAATATTTGCAAATTATTGAATCTGTAACAACATGTTCCACGATTGTAAAAAAGTTGTTAAAAATGGAAGTTGCGTATTTTTTGTACCACATGAGATTAGATATGCATAATGCCTGTCTGTGATGCCATGTTTGAACAGCGAGTTGCAAACAGTATCTTTCTTGTGGGTTTTAAGCAAACGCGCAGTGAAATGGGAGCAACTAGAGTTTATTTTGTCATAATTGGTAGTGTGATTATGCATGACACGAAGTATTTGCTAGTCTAGTACTGGAGAAATTAGTGTTTGGATGCGCATTGTGAGCCTTTAATGATTAATGATTAATGATAGATAATCCTAACCCTAACCATTAATGACATTAAAGTTGGGAACACTCCTAATGGAGAATCACCCGTTATGGTGGAGTTAATGTAAAGCAATTACTCACTAATAACAGCAATTAATGTAAGATAACTTTGTTTTTATTGGTGGTCAAAATGTAATAGCTTACATCTGGGTTGTTAACTACTCCAAGAATTGCTTCTTGCATTGATGTGTATTCTTTTACTACCTCTGTTAGGAGAATCTGCAAGGAAGATGCGCTTTATGGTACAATTAAACCTGACAACAGTGGAAGCATATGTAAGACAATCGGTACAGCTATATATAGCTCATGTTAGCAAATGCTAAAACCATGAAGCAGTGGCCAGCTAGAGCAGCAAAAATATAATGACTACTTTTGAAAAAGATAAAGAGTTAAAATTTAAAAGCTCAATATACCTTGAACACATACGGGTGGCCAGGGGAAACACCTGCTCCTTGGTCGGCCCACAGGCATTCTGCTTTGTAGGCAGTCCTGTGTCCACCAGGATCAGCCACAGCCATGTGCCTTTTGCTTGTAGGTTGTGGTGGCAACCACGACCATTTGTTATCCACATTAACAAAAGACGTAACATGTCCCTCCAGCACTAGAACAGTATAGTTCCGAAATGATAAATTATAAAGATTTTAAGGGCAACTATAATATTTGAGAAGCAATAATATTGTAAACTATAATGTCACACCTTGGACTGATAGGTAAGGCACATTAAGGGTTGCTATAACAAATGGAGAATGCTGGCAAAAAAGTAATGAACATCCAATACAGTAAAAACCCACGTATAAGAACCTAGATTTTTAGCTCACCTTGACATCGTCAAGCTGAGCTATTGCCATGGGTTGTCGTCCGTCGTACGTCCGTCCGTCTGTCCGTCGGTCAACGATAACTCAAGAACCGTTTGACCCACATGTTTGAAATTGGGTGTAGTTGTTACTGCTATGCTCCCATATTAAACGTCCTATTTTGGAGCACGCCAGTCGGCGTACTTTCGAGCCACGGCGATTTTTTGACAAAAACGGGAATTGCCATTAGTCAGTTCAGGTTCAACGGATTTTGCTCATTTTTGGTATGGGAATGAATAAGGGCTAGGGGTTTTGATATTTTTAAAAAGATTATGCAAATTAGGTAGGGTTTGGCAATTATATAGCAAATTATATAGACACAAACAGTCTGTGGTGTCACACTCGTCTGGTTCGTTTTACGAGATTTCATTGACAATATCTTTAATGCAAAATTGGTATTTCCTCTCCACTCTACCGATAAAACGTCTATATTAGAGTAAAGATTTACAAAACATGTCGGAACGCAGCATAACCTATTTATTTCGAACGCCATCGCTACAAAGCGGGTATGACTTCTTCTTACTCACTCATTTGTGTCCTTTTTTGTGGTGAGCTACAGTGTCATTGAAACTTTCATTGTGGTGAGCTACAGTGTCATTGACACTTTCATTTATTTTACCTGTTTCTTTACCATGCAGTCTTCATCTGCATGGAAAATTAAGAACCTACTTTAAACACTTAGCCTAAAACAGGTTCTTATGTAAAGAGGTCTAAATGGGAAATTTTTGCCTAACAGGTTCTTAAAATCTAGGTTCTTATATGCAGGTTTTTACTGTATGGCAGGTACAGTATAAAAGATTGCTGCAAATTTTATAATTATGTGAAAAATCTTATAATATGTATAATTTAGTAGAATATGTCCTTAAATATTTGCATGTGCAAAGCCTGCCTGTCATCTAATGAATCCACAAAATACGTTTTCTGTACCTACATGAAGCAATTGAGATTTGTGTCATCATTTAATTCTCTGGTTAATTTAAAGAAATTTGTTGAATCAGAAAACAGCTGCACATTATGTTATGTATGTACATATATAGTATAAAGAACACATAACCTTACACCGTAGGTAGCTATAGATACCTACTGCACAAAATTTCAAGGTTCTTTCACCATTGTTGATGGATGGATGGGTGATGATGGGTGCTAGAGCCATTGTTTAAAGGGACAGTAGCCTCTAGGATTTTACTGTATACAACTGTACTTACTGTAAAACAAATCGTCTATACCCACACGTATTTGTTACCAGATACCTAATTTAATTGTTATAATTATTTACACATCAACGCAACGAAATTTGAACGGCGCCATGACACCCGCGACCGTGCTGCCACCCCAAAATAGTTGCTTATTTGACAATTTATTTTGCACGTTACAGACCGAGGGCTAATTACAAATGTGCTGATATATTTATACCTAAATGCTATTTAACCGAACAATATTCATTTTAGGGCAANATATGCTATAATGAGCATAAATTCTGGTACCTGCTCATGCATAGGTGATGAATGTTGATTCGCTGCAGATGTGTTATCAAGATCTTCATCACTTTCATCTGTTTCTGAAGGCTGTAGAGGTAAAATAATATTATAATTTAGACTTCATTCATGAAATTTTGAAACATTACACTGGGATATCTATATGTACACAACTATCTGTGTAAAGGAATAGTTGATAGCATATACATATATATATATATATATTGTAAGCAGGCAATTTACAT